TTAAACAAATGGGAAAATTGGTTTTAAATTGTCTTTTACAAAAAAGACAATCTTTAAAGGTGGGGGGACATGAAAAAAATAATGTTCTCGAAATTCCGTTCAAAGATGCCCCTCGAGGAGTTGAACTTGTGAGGGCGAAGAAGAGGGGGCGGCGCCGCTACCGACTGAGCCACGCGGGCAAAGAGAAAGCGCACGCCCGATTGCATACATAAAGGCGAGGACGACACCTTTAACAAGCTGAAAATCGCCTCCAAAGTGCGAAATTGCTTGATGTAAGACTGTTTGACCCTTTAACACCCGAACAAACACGAAAATCAAACATCGAAGACGGAGCGATTGTAGTACAATGATTGTACTACAATCCATTACAAAATTTTTGGTCTTTTGATCATTATGATGGGTTGAATACTCGCAGAGTTTTGCAGGGTACAAATTTCAGTGCAAAATTCCCAAAAACCCCAAATTTTTGACGCTTTTTCAAGATTTTCAAGAAAATGAAAAACTAAAATGTAATAAAAAATCCAAAATTGAACGATTGTAGCAAATGTCTCTGCGGTATTGATAACGTTTTTATTTTTCTGATGCCGTAAAAACCTGATAGAGTTATGCACGGTTGAATGAAACCGGTTTTTATCATAAATTTGCTCAAATTCCTCCCATTTTCATAAAATTTTGTGCAGCTGATAACTGAAGTTTTTAGTAACTAGCTCAAATTCATCCTTTTCTGTGATTTCCATGACTCTAGTGATAAGTTTCTATAAAGAAGAGAGAAAGGGGGAGGAGCGTGAAAAAAGTCATGGCTAGAGTGCAGACGACGGAGACCGTGAATTCTCAACGAATCAGTTTTTTTCAGGCTCTCTGCAACCAACCACATGCCTAGATCCTGTCACTAGCAATAAGGTCTTCCTGCAGCTGCTTCCATTGCTCGAAATGTTGGATGAGAATACTCTTGAGGTCATCAGCAAGATTTTAAAGCCAACATCAATCAATTTGACTGGGATCAATATGACTGAGAAGATCTTTGAAGTGATTCGATCATTTAACTTGACTTAAGTTTGTGTTGCTTCGAACAACTCAGAAATTTCAAAAAAGATCGGAAGTATCATTCCCTCTCTAAGAAATATCCACCGGTAGCCGCCACTAGAAGATCTCTAAGGCATGATTGGAGGTGTAGACGAAAACGAAAAGGGTAATTATCCAATTATAATGCACACCATTAATCTGAAAATGTTCCAGGAATCGGTGCAGTCTACGATCTTCCAGCTGTTCTTCGAAGCATTCTGAAACAAGAATCACGAGATAGTCTCACTCATCTGGATCTGAGCCCAGAAGCAACAGTATTTCGCAATCAGGGGCATACGGAGCATTTTGCTGATGGATGGGCAAGAGAGGTGAGTGAAATGGGTTTGGCATTTTGGATTTATGTAGCTTGCCTCTGAGCCGACATGTGTAAAGTAGAATTCTGAAATCTTTTGGGAAGAATATAAATATTTGCAAACGGGTCGATATAATAAATGAAGTAGGTCTGAAAGTTTCAGATCGGTCAAATGCTACCTTCCTTGAAGAGTCTATCCCTCCGCCATCGTATTACGACTTCTAAAGATTTCCAGGACATCTGTTCATTCTTTCCTAATCTTGAAAACCTTGATCTGGCTTATACTGCCATCGAAAGTTTGACTGGTATTTCCCAGTTGACAAAGCTCAGAACCTTGAGAATTGGAGGCTTGCAATTTGAGAAGTCTCGTTGCCTTTTGGATATTTTCGACATCGAGAATCTTGAAAATCTTAGTTTCGCTAAAACGAGCGTTTTTGGCGATTCAGTCGGAACTATCGAAACGTACTTACGCTCGCGACGTCCTTTCCCAAATTTGAGGCATTTGGATCTTTGTTATTCTTCCGTCGAAGACGAAGCTATTCGAAAACTAGTAGAAGCGCATCCGACACTGGAATCTCTATCTATTACCGGTATGCGATTCGAAAATAATTATTTGTTCCAAACTCAACAATTTTCAGCCTCTGTTTCACTTCAGTACCCAGGACTCTCAGTTTTCCATCCAGCAACTCTCCAAGCCGCCACAGAAGCGTTGAAATTCTACTCTGCTGAAAATAACGCGCCGATGGTTGGAGCAATGTTGGGGAACATTTGCGGTGTTCTGGATACTCGGGATCGTCTGCCAGTGGAGGCTTTGGAAGACTGCTTGAAGCAAGTGGTTTCCTCTCTAGAATCATTCTGTTTTTTGAAAATAGTCATGATGTTAGGATCAAAGTGCTGCGAGAAACTTTTGAAGTAAGATAATCTGATTTTTCTAACAATAAGCAAAATAAGTTTTTTTTTTCCAGAATGGCTCCACTGAACACCTACAACCAAGAGGATCTTGTTCGATTGGTTAACTTTATTATAACGTCTATCAGCCCAAGAGTCAAACTGATTGATAGCCATTATCTTGCTGATAAGGCAACATGCCCGTTGTGGAATGTTCTTAACAACCGTGAAGTGTTATTAAATACTCCATACATTGATTTGAATCAAATCTGCCGTCTCAACATTTCGATGCTTGAGAAGATATCAGATCAACGAGGATTTATCACTTCACCATGTTATATAACCATCTTTGATATCATCAAAGATCGTATAAATACAAATTTGGAAATGTTCCAATCGGTACAAAAAAGAATCATTGTGAATCACATTTCACAAACTCGCAACTACCTCGTTGTCTGGGAGCTCCAGGAGGACATAGGTGCAGCAGACCGGCTTATTCAATTCATTGATATCAATTTTTAAATCCTTGATTTTTCTGTAACATCTTTTTCACTGTTTTTTATGGCCTCAATGACCCTTTAGTTACCATAAAATGTTGACCAATTTTTATTTTTTCTGGGTAAATCCAATCCAATACTTCATCGCGTGACTTCCTTTTTAAAATGTTTCCTTCAAAAACGAATTATTCTGGTTCGTTAATAAACTAATCTGAAAATAAAATTCATAAGTTTCTGGAAATTCCGAATTTCCATCCGAAAATCCAAAAATTTGAAATCCTAGACAATTTCCAGTCTTTTTTTATTACAGGGCGAAACAAATGAAACTGTGAATTTCGCGCCAGTAGTATAGTAGATTTTCGAACCCTGAAAAAGTCATCCAGAATTTTTCAATTTGTCTGAGAATTTCAGGGTATACTAAACAGAAGTAGAGCTTCATTTTTGTTGGTAATGAACAACTTTTTTGCCAAATTTTAATTTGACTAAAAAAGTGTCAAAAATAGCACTGAAATGAGAGAAAGGAAACTTTACAACTGCTCATCTTTTTTTGTTCAGTTTGTACAAAAAAGTTGTCAATTACAAACATTAAGCTCTATTTTTATTTTCTCTAATCTGAAATTTTCAGACAAATCGAAAAATTCTAAACTAGATTTTCAGGAGTTTAAAATTGACAATTTTCAACTGAAAAAGCCAATCATTGACTGTTTTTTGTGGAGTACTATATCTTATTCAGATGGAATTTTACAAAAAAATTGTTAACTACAAAAATGAAGCTCTATTTTTGCTTAGTATATTCTGAAATTTTCAGAAACATCGTAAAAAATCTGAAATTGATTATCTGGACTTCAAAGTCAGCTATTTTTCACTGAAGAAAGCCAAAACATGGTATATTTTTGCCGTGTACTGTATCTCATTTAAATGAATTTCTCCGAAAAAATTGTCAATTACAAAAATGAAGCTCTATTTCTGCTTAGTATATTCTGAACATTTCAGACAAATTCAAAAATTCTGAACTAGTTTTTCAGGACTTCAAAGTTAACTATTTTCCCTTATCAAAACCCATAAATCTTATTTCCTTATCTCATGGAAATTTCGTACTTTTTCTTTTCTTATGAAAAACAAACCAGTTCATCCCAATCAGTGCCTTTTGATCTTGAAAGTTCCAATATGCCAAACGGTTACAGTTATCTCTCCTCCGAATGTCTGCGTCTCCACCAATTCCACACTCTCTCTCGCTTCATTTAGTCATAAAAACAAGGAAAAAACAAACAAGTCTGTGTGGCTTTTCGAAGAAAAAGGAGGGTTTCTTCTAAACTGTCGAATAGGGGAGAACAGTAATAATTTTTGTTTTGTTTAGGACTTGTTTTCGTTTACGAATGGTATAAAAGATGGGAACGTCGTTAGAAAGGCACTTCGATTCGTCGTCATGGCAGACGAAAAACAAAAACTCGCCGAGATCGAGAGCCTTAAGAAGGTCGCCTTCTTTGGTAAGCATTTTTTGTTTGGAAAATTTTGAAATTCGAAGTTTGAAAATTTTTAATTTTGAAGTTTTTTAAATTATTAAAAAAAATTCTTTTAAATTTTACATTAAAAATTCAATATGTTTTTTTTTGGGAATCTTTTTTTCTAAATTATAAGTCGCTTGGATTTTAGAAATTTGAATTTTTGAAAAATTTGAAATTGTTAAAAAAATATTTCTTCTTGGAACTTTTCAAATCTCCAAGATTTTTAAAGATTTTGAATTTCAGAAATTCAGAAAATCTGGAGTTCTGAAAATTCAAAAACTCCTGAAAAACAAAAAATTCTAAAAATCTAAATTCTGAAACTCTGAATTTCATAAAATCGAAAATTCTGAATTTCTCATTAAAAATTCTTTTTTTTCATTAAGAATTTCAGAATTTCAGAAATTTGATTTTAGCTTTTCAAAAAATCGGAATTTGGAAAAATTCTGAAATCTTCTGAAACTTCGAAATTCTGAAAATTTGAAAATTTGAAATTCTAAAAATCTTAAATTCTGTTTCCAGGCATCTCCGTGGCGACCATCGCCACACTGGTCGCCATTGTGGCCACGCCCATGATGTACAACTACCTGCAGCACGTGCAGTCCTCCCTTCAAAACGAGGTAAACATCCCGAAAAAAAAATAAAAAAGATTTGCCGCCAGCAGGGGTCGAACCTGCGACCTTGGGCTTATTAGACCCACGCTCTAACCGACTGAGCTATGGCGGCCACGAAGGAGACAAAGGGGGAAAGCGTATAAGAAGGGGGTGGTCGGCGGCGCGTGAGAGGAGAATGAGGCGCAGACACGAGAAGGAGAAGTGTGTGTTAAAGAAATAGAGAGAAAAGCCTAGAAGTAAAAATAGCGGCTTTTGGCCAATTTCGCCCGTTTTTCGAGATTTCAAACGCTAAAAAATGAGTCAAGACCGTCTAAACTCAACATTTTCCAGGTGGAATTCTGCCGTCACCGTACCGATGGGCTGTGGGACGAGTTTAGCCGCTTCGAAGTGGTCCATGGCAAGGAAACCCGTATCAAGAGACGTGCCCGTGCCTTCGGAGCCGAAAGCTATTCCACCGGAGCCGGAGGAGGTGGCGGAGGAGGATGCTGCTCTTGCGGAATCGGAGCCGCCGGACCACCAGGACCACCAGGAGCCGACGGAAACCCAGGAACCGATGGAGCCGCAGGTAATCCAGGACAAGCCGGAGCCGACGCCGAAGCCGCTGCCGCACCAACCGCCGCTGATTTCTGCTTCGACTGCCCACCAGGACCAGCAGGACCAGCCGGAAACGCAGGACCACCAGGACCACCAGGAGGACCAGGAGCACCAGGAAACACTCCAGCTGGAGGAGCTGCAGGAGCCGCTGGACCACCAGGACCACCAGGACCACCTGGAAATGACGGAGCACCAGGAGCACCAGGAAACCCAGGAGCGCCAGGAGCAGTCAACACTGTTCCAGGACAACAAGGACCACCAGGACCACCAGGACCAGCTGGACCACCAGGAGCTGCTGGTAACCCAGGAACCGCAGGATATGCTCAACCTGGACCACCTGGACCTGCTGGAGATGCTGGACCAGATGGAGCACCAGGAAATCCAGGACAACCTGGACCCGCTGGAGACGCTGGAGCACCAGGGTCCGGAGGAGGATGCGATCACTGTCCACCACCACGTACCGCACCTGGATATTAGATATTTTATGTGTCTTGTTTTGCCATTGCTCAGCTTTTTTGCATGATTCCGCTTTTTTTTAAAAACAGTCGATTTCAGTCGATTCAATGAACCTTTTTATGGCTCGAAAGTTGGTTTTTGTTTTTGTCTTCTTTTCAATGACCTGGAAATTTCCAATTTTTCAGAATTTAAAAAAGTTTAGAAGTTCCAAAAACTCGAAAAATCAGAAATTCGGAAATGAAAAATTTAAAAATTCGGAAAATCTAAAAATTCAGAAGCCCTAAAGAAAAGTTATGAAATTTTCGCTTTTTTCCGTAATCTTTTTTTTTGACTTTCGAAATTATAGAACTTAATTCAGAATATAATATATTTATTTCATTTTCATGAAAAAATATAATGAGAATAATAACAAGGGGAATACTGAAGGGATAATTGAAGAAGAAGAAGAAAAAGAAAAATAATTATTTCCAATTCTTGCACGAGCCTCATGAATTGACGAGCATTTTCGGTTGCGAATTCTGATGGAACTTTCTGAATCTTGATTCCGCTCACATGTGCCTTCTTCGCATATGCTGCTCCAAAATCCAAGGGCTGTCCAATTCCCAAACCGCTTTTCGTAACTTCAATCCGGTCCAGAATGTCCTGGAACTGTTCGAAGCTCGTTTCGCCATAAGTCTGAAAAATAAATAACATTACGAATTATATTTTTTAGAAAAAAACAGAGACAGACACATACAGTACCAGTCTACAAAACTTAGTTAATTTTTTCCATTGTCAGGAGTCTGGAGCGCGGCTGCCACGCCCATTTTTGTAAATGCAGAAATCAGAACAAGAAATTTTCAAAAAAAAAAGCCTAGCCCCAGACTCCTGAAAATGGTCCAAATTGCCAAATATTAACTGAAAATAGTCACGCAGTTCTAGTTCTTACCTCTGAAACTGACATTGGCAACCATTCGGAAATTGGGCCCCACCACCAAAACTACAGTATCCAGCACCTTGGGTGGAAAACGAAAAACTCGAGTTCGTTATCCTCTACAGTCACGATTGCTTTGGTTTCATCTCTTCGCACGATACAAATCTCTCCGCGTTTTGTTCTCGTCACAATCTTCTGGCGGAGGTATCCAGATCGGTTTGGATGCTTATGGTAAACTTTCATCGTCGCATGACAATGAACCAACTATCTCAATAGGGCATCTTTGTTGATTTCATGATCGGCAGTGATAACGTGCAAGTGTTCGAGTCTTTGCGCTGATCCAGTCATCCACAAGCGGAAAAATTGGTTGTATTTCTGTGGTAGCAAAGGCGATTCGAAGAATTGGGAGAACGGAAATCGTCCCAATTGAGTGGATGGATGTTGAGCTTTGACCAGACAGATCCATAAATCCTGAAACAATAATGATTTCAAAATTAAAAAAAAAATTCACTCAATCTTTAAACAAAAAACAAAAAACCTACAAAAACCTACAAACAAAAACCTAAAAAAATATTATACATTTTTATACATAGTTTTTCATATTGACTTACAGTCGCGTGGTGTCCTTCCCTTTTTGGTCGTTTCCAATTTCTGAGTCACCACAATTTTTGTGCCGTTGTTACAGAATTGCAAAATTGCTCTCAATTTAATCATAAGACCTGGATCAAAAGCTAAATTGTTGCAGAAAATAATGGTCGCTTTCTCTTTCAAAAAAGTCTCAGTTTCTTCGGTATTGAAATCTCCGAGTTCCAGCTCAAATGGCCGTGGCTTTTCCCCAAAATGCCGCATCAGCTTCTTGAACTGACGAGCGTTTTCGTCCGCAAAACCAGCTGGGACCTGTTGAAGTTCAATGCTTCGCACGTGTGCTATGTTGGTATACGCAGCAGCAAACGTTACCAGCTGCCCGATTCCAGATCCCAAATCTATGAAGACGTCGTCTTCTTTGACACCAAGCAGGTCCAGGATTTTTTGTAATGTCTCGATATTCGTTTCACCGTAAGTCTGGAAAAATTATTAACATTACGAAGTGTCTTTAAATATTTGTGAGAGAAAAAACAGAGACGGACTCCTATACACAGTAACAGTCTATAAAATTTTTAAAAAAGATTTTTCAGTTGATTTGCGGTCTATTCAAAATACTGTGAAACAAGACATTTTCAAAAAGTTTTGTGAATAAAAAATTTTCAATCTAGGTATTTTATACAAAAAAAAAGAAAATGGCCACAATGTTTGAAAATCAACTGAAAAAAATGCGTTTTTTTCTATCTTATTTACTGTATGTACGTTTAGTGAACTAACCCCGCTGCTGAATCCTGCATAATACGTGTTTAGCACTCGTGGATTTGGAATGGCGAGTTGACATGCTAAGTCACAGATTACACGGAACTCGGAAGCTTCCTTTTGGCGCCAATTTTCTTTTGAAAGTAGAACATCACGCGGATTCTAAAATTAAGAAATTAAAAAAAAAGTCTGGCGAAAATATAATCAAAACTATTTACATTTTTACGAAATACTTTGACACTGTTGTTGAACGTTTTCAAAAAGGGTCCTAGTTCACTGTCGGCGCATTCGTCCCAATGGAGTGGATGGATATTAAGCTTTGAGAGGACAGATCCATGTATCCTGAAATAATAACGATTTCTGAAATATATTAAAAATTTTCACTCACTCTTTGAACAACGTTTTGATGACCGATGCAGCGTTCGGCTCATTGGAAGTGAAGTCTAAACTACGTCCGTATTTGCACACTGACTCGATTGACCATTTCTCTACTTTAGCGGCGATTTTTGAATCTCGTCCAGCGTCTTTGGATGGAGCGTTTCTCTTAATTGCCGATCTCAAACTTCTACCACTACCGTCGGTGGTCGGATAGTTGGAAGAACATAAAAAGGTGTTGAGTGATGAGAGTGTAAACGAGATAACGTAAACGGGAGAGAGAGAGAGACATGATATATTGCATTTCTGGTAAGCAATAAAGATTCAGTCTGATTTTTGTTCGAGTTGCTTCATCAGAAAAGTAGCTTCGCTGATTTCATGATCGGCAGTCCACTTCTTCATGGGTAAGGTGGGGTGGCAGTTCTTCGGACAACTTGATTGGATGCAATTGCAATTTATCGTGGCGCCCATGGAACTTCTGTTCGCTGATTTCCAGAATTGTGTCAAGTGGAGCGGCAAACAGGTAATGGCCTGAATACGTTGTCGTAGACCCATTGGAATGCAACCAGTAATGCTGAAAATAAACCAATTTTAAAACAATTGAAAGATACCATTCGTTACCGTGTGACTCACATTGCAAACACACCATTCTTCGTCCACTGAGTTATGAGCTTGCAGCTCTTGAAGTTCTCAAGCGAGCTGTTCGATTGTGGTCGTCCATAACTCCAGTCGGATGTTTTAATTTGTTGACAATCGTCACAGGTTTGTCCAGGTTTCATCTCATCGAAACTCGTCTATCTTCGGATGTTTCATAGTAGCGATAAGCCGTATCATCGTTCACGAAACCTCCGATAGGAGCTACCTGCAAATATCAGAATAAATATACAGCCGTAGAGTTCCTTTGTGAAGAGTGGGTCGGAAAGCTACAGTAACCCAGTATTAAAGGATTGTATAGAGAAGTAGAATAGACAGAATAATATCAGGAAAGTGAAAAAGAATATATACTTCCGACGTTCATACAGAAGAACGTCTACAAGAATATATTGGGAGGGGAAAAAGGGGAATGGAATGAAAACCTAGTGGACCTGTTGGTATTTATAGGTGCATTCTAGGGGGCGGAGTCTGTTCGCTAATTGTCATTGTCATCATTACCATTATCATCATTTTCAATGTCATCATTCTCATTATCATGGTCAATATCATCATTTTCAGTGTCATGTACCGTATTTCCTCTAATAGAATCTCTCCCAAAATTTGAGCTCAATTATCTCGATTCCAGTGAAAGATATCAAAAATAATCAACTGATAAAATATTTATCAGATTATCAGCAACATTTTATCAAATTACAAAATTTTTATATCTTCTGCAGGAGCCGAGATAATTGAGCCAAAATTTGGTAAATGGTGTTTTATTAGAAGGAATAATGTAAAACACACCGTGACAATGAGAATGATCACTCGAATTTCGATGGGACAGGCAAATCAACTACTAACTCAACTTTCCTCTGATAATTGGCTTTTTTCGGTTTAAAGGTGGGGGGACAGGAGATTTTACGGGGGATTTTTGGGGCCAGAGTATGCATTCTACCGTGACGGTGTACAACGCTTAATGTCACTCTGCGTACAGCTGTCGTCCTCGCCTTTATGTATGCAATCGGGCGACCGCTTTCTCTGTGCCCGTGTAGCTCAGTCGGTAGCGGCGCCGCACCCTCAATCCTCGTCCCACACGTTCAACTCCTCGAGAGGCATATTTAAACGAAATTTCGAGAACATTATTTTTTTCATGTCCCCCACCTTTAAAAAAATCTGACATTTTGTTTTTCAGAATCTTAAGAAATCAAAATTATTTGATGTTTTTTCCAAACATCACATTCCACCCAAATGACTAATCCACTCTAAAAGTCAAACACCCAAAATTGGATACCTGAAAAAAAGAGAAGCTAATAGAATTCATTTTCCAGAATTCTAAAGTACTGAAAATCAAGAGAAAAATTATATTTTGATTCAATTTCTTCACCTCATCAGTCACATATTCACGCTTTGAAGGAGCATGATCAGAGTCAGAAGACGTCGAATTATCCAGAAGACACACCCACGGCAAAAAATGAACGAAAAATCTTGTGATTTTTAGATTTTTTATAAAAAATGTGTCAAGGAATTTTGCCTCTTACTTTTTGGTTTTCGATTCAGAATTCAGAATTTGTATTGGATTCTAGAACACTACAAATTCTGAAGACGTGACTTTTAGAACTTTTGAATTTTGACTTGATTCTAGTACTACTACAATAATTTTTGATCTGTCTTCATTCAGATTTTTCCGTTTCTGATTTTTAGAGTTTTAAAATTTTGCATTTTTCGAAAGTTTTACCATAAACCTGTATAAGAAGGACCGGCCCTTCTATTACAGGGACAGATCAATTAGAGGGGGCACTCCTATCTTTCCGGCCAGTTTTCTACCAAAATTATGCATCGAAAATTCGACGAAGTTTCGTTCAAAAATTCAGCAAGATTTTCATCAAAAAATAGAGTTCCAACAAATTTCTATTAAATTTTGGAGTTCCTGAAATATTTTCCACTGAAAAAGTACTGAAATTTTCTGATTTCAAAACATATTTTGAAGGGGGGGGGGGGGTCCTTTTTCACAGAGTGCCCGTCTATTACAGGAGTGGGGGCTTCTATTTGTCCAAGCCCCTCTCGAAGAGCCCTTCTATTAGAGTGGCCCTCCTATTAAACGCGCCTTTCTAACACAGATTTCACGGTAACTATATTTTTCGGAATTTAAAATTTCAAAAACTGAAAAAAACTTTGAATTCTGAAAATTAGCAATATTCTGAAAATCAAAAAACATAAGTTGGATATTCTGAAAATTGTGAAAATTTGTGTTTGGAATTGCTGGAATATTTTAAAAATAGAAAACTCTCAGAATCTGAAATTTGAAAACTTGCTGGAAATCCTGAAAATTCTTGAATTTCGAAAATTTTTGAAGGGGTACTGTACCCCATTTGGATGAATTCGTACGAAAAAGTTGTCAACGACAGAAATGATGTTTTTTTTGTTTAGTATACTCTGAAAATTTCAGACAAATAGAAAAATTCGGGACCACTTTCTCAGGAATTCAAAGTTGGTAATTTGTTTTATTTTCTTTAAATTCTGCAAAAAATATAAATGTGTTCTATTTGCATCACATTTCAAATCCAATGATATCACGATATCTATACTTTTCCGGTCGCTCACTATTTTTCGAATTCCTTCAGAAATTTTTTTTTGAGATCATAGAAGCTGTAAAAAAGTTTGAAGACGTGACTAGTGTCATCTGAAAAAGACGGCACCGGAAATTCAAATCTTAGGGTAGAGATGTGGGGAAATGAGAAAGTGCTCTTGCCTTTTTTTCTTGATTTTTCCAGAAATTTCTGGAGGAAATTAATCGAAAATTTGAAGAAAAAAACGTTCGACTTTAGTGAGTTTTGGACTTTTAGAACATCTGAGATTCTGAGATACTATAAAAGTCTGAAATTTCAAAAATCTGAGATTCTGAGATTCTGAGATTCTGAGATTCTGAGATTCTGAGATTCTGAGATTCTGAGATTCTGAGATTCTGAGATTCTGAGATTCTGAGATTCTGAGATTCTGAGATTCTGAGATTCTGAGATTCTGAGATTCTGAGATTCTGAGATTCTGAGATTCTGAGATTCTGAGATTCTGAGATTCTGAGATTCTGAGATTCTGAGATTCTGAGATTCTGAGATTCTGAGATTCTGAGATTCTGAGATTCTGAGATTCTGAGATTCTGAGATTCTGAGATTCTGAGATTCTGAGATTCTGAGATTCTGAGATTCTGAGATTCTGAGATTCTGAGATTCTGAGATTCTGAGATTCTGAGATTCTGAGATTCTGAGATTCTGAGATTCTGAGATTCTGAGATTCTGAGATTCTGAGATTCTGAGATTCTGAGATTCTGAGATTCTGAGATTCTGAGATTCTGAGATTCTGAGATTCTGAGATTCTGAGATTCTGAGATTCTGAGATTCTGAG